CCTTGTGCTTTGTTTGGTTGTTCATCCTCCTTGCGTGCATAAGGGAATTCATCCTCTAAAAAAATAACATCTCTTGATGCAAAGAACGTGCCGGACTCTAAGTCATACAAGTTCCATCATTTCTTTCTAAAAGGATACCCAACAAAAACACACCGTCTGCTTCGACAGACAAATTTATCCCCTCTGTGTCCATGATTGTGCGCATATGCCAAGCAATAAAAAACTCGCACATTATCATAAGGAGGTCACCCAAATAAAACTTCATAGGGAGTCTTTCCCTTCAACAGAATGGACCGTGTCTGATTGATCAAATAACATGTGGTCAATACACATTCCCCCCAAAAATCAATAGGCATGCTAGCTTGAAAACACAATGCTCGGGCAACATTGAGTATGTGCCGGTGTTTGCGTTCAACCTTCCCGTTTGTTGAGAGGTCCCGACACAAGTGGTCTGATGAATAATACCATGCTGAGCAAAATAACTAGCCAAACAGACAAACTCAGTCCCATTATCAGTACGAACCACTTTGACAGGTTTGTTAAATTGCCTTTGAACCATAGCAAAAAAATTTCGAAGAACTTGTCTCACTTCTGTCTTATCAATCAGAAGATAAATCCAAACATCTCTAGAAAAATCATCTACTATTGTCAAGAAATAATGAGCACCACAAGAAGCTGCAGTTCTATAAGGACCCCATAAATCACAATGAATTAACTCAAAAATATCGGATGCTTTGTTATTACTAGAAACAAACTCTTCTCGACACTGTTTAGCTCGGAAGCATACATCACAACCCTTAATACTGTCATCCTTATTATTTTTAGTACTAACAAAAGGCAGCAACTTAACAATTTTATGAGAATGATGCCCTAACCTTTGATGTCAAATATCACACGTCTTACTCTCTATAGTCTTCATTGCTCTCGCTGATGCAATGCTCCAGAAATAATAGAGTCCCTCTCGCTACTCACCCGCTCCAATTAGCTTCCTCGTAGTTCGGTCCTGTATCACACAGAATTTATTAGTGAACTGAACAACACAATTCGACTCCTCAATCAATTGCGACATAGAAATTAGATTGCAGTTCAAACTAGGCACATATAAAACATTAGTCAGTTTTAGATGATCGTCCAGCGCAACTGTACATTCTTTCTCTGCTATTGTCGCTTTCTCATCTGACAGCCCGACTGAGCATGGAATGATGTTCTTTATGTCTCTCATCAACTCGAGACTTCCTGTCATATGATGAGAAGCCCCTGTGTCTATTATCCACTCTGATAGTTTTCGCTTACCACTTTATTGACTCCCCTCTTTTTGTGTATTCAAAAGGTTGAGTAGCATGTTCCACTGCTCACTACTTAGTCCATTTAACCCAGTCTTGACTGCATCGATTTATTTTCCTTGAGACGCATTGCCTTGTGCAGAGACTTTGGCTGTATGGGCCTTGACTTGGTCGCCACGACCTTTTCCTCCTGCCCCTGTTCCTTGTTTCCGTCCACCACGCCCACCATGTTCTTTTTCTTTGTTTTCAGCCATATCGACCGCTGTGTCTAAAAACCCTCAATCGGCGGCAGAATCATCACAGAAAACCGGATCTCCCTAAAACCTGTCGCAGAACTTCGACTCGCCAGAAACCCGTTAAAGATCGGACGTTTGTGAGTCTTATTCGGAACTCTCTGAAGGCACCGATTTCGAAGCCGTGGAATCTGAGACCGATCTTCTATTCACGATCGGTGATGCTTCTATTCACGAATAAGAGATCGCCGCCACCGGAACGCAACACGATCGCCGCTGCCACAGCGTTTCTAAGAGATCTGGTACCGCCACCAGAACGCAACACGATCGCCGCTGCCACAGCGTTTCTAAGAGATCGCCGCTGCCGCTGGTAAGAGATCGCCGCCACCGATCTCCAGAGGTCGTGGAACGTCTTATCTCCGTTCCACCTCCAAACCCACTTCCAAGAAAACGTTTTTTTCGACGGCGCTGCTGCCGAACTCTCGTCCAAGCGTGCTGTCCTCCGCCTCCGCTTCTACAACAGCGACAGCCATTGCGTCATTTCTCTTAAAGCTAAAGCCGTTATTGTCGACGGCATCAGCCGCGTCGAAGAGGATGAAGAAGAGAAAAAAGGGGGATGAGCGCCCCGCAACAGTAACTGTAACAGTCGATAAAATAATGAAGCCCCTCCTCCAAGAAGAGATTGACCCCTCACTGTTCTATGAGAGGAGACGTTGAAAGTAGAAAAACGACTTCCGCCGTTGTATTGTCGATTCGTCGGTCAATTTTGGAGCGGCAGGGGGTCAGAAGCAAACAAATCACCGATTTCCTGAAAATAATCGTCCTCTTGCCACGTAGTCGACGACGACCCGAAATCACCACAAGAACCTAGGAAGATATCACCGAAATCATCCCTGAAGAAACTATCCACGAAACTCGTTTCATCAAACAGTTCCGTAACAACCGGCAAAAGAAGTTCAGTACGAATCGAGTTTACCGAATGGTTTCGGCGAGTTTTGAGTGAAAGACGAGAAGAAAACCGAGCACGATAGAAGTCAAGGTCGAAGACAAGGAAGAACTAGAAGAAGCCCGCAAGCGTGCCAGACCTCTCGCTCCTGTTTCGTGGCTCTGATACCATTTACTCTCTTCTTATCTTTATTCATTGGAGATTTAGATATATATACACAACCATCGAACATCGAATCCTAAATTTACAAGAACTCAAACTCAAAACGAAATCAAACTCAAACTCAGCGGAGTCTCTAACCCCGGAGACTCCTAATTCAATCCTAACAATCACTCTCTATACTAAACCCAGATCTTTAGCAGTAGAGCAACATTCCAAAATAGCTACTAATTCAGCATATTCAGCAGAAACACCTCTACAACCTTCACATTTAGCAGCCAAAAAAGACTCAGACACATCAACAATCCAAAATCCTAATCCACTGGATTCAGCGGAACAAAAACTCCCATCTGTTCTAGCTTTACAACACAGTGGGTTTAAACTAGAAACCAAAAAGTTTTTACAGCTGGGGCATCACCGGAGAAAGAATCGATTGATTCTTGATGAAAAGCTTTCCACACTTCCCTCATTGTCCTATTCACCTGAAACAAAGAGACATACGGATCAGGCTGGATATCTTCAAACATGAATCCATTTCTTGCCTTCTAAATATAATAATAGATAATTCAAAACCATTATTATGACAATCAATAAGCAAACCCTTCTGACTCAACCACCAAGACCACCATTCTGCAAAAGAACCAAAAGACTCGAAATTTGAACAAACAACATTCAGGGAGCTTCTAAACCATGTTGCCCTCGCATGGTCACACAGGGAGAGAGTATGCAGTATGCTTTTCTTCTTTGCTTTGCAACTATACTTTTATGGGCGATCCGAATTTGATCTGTTTATAATTGGAATCGATATAAATCTACCCTATCAAATCTATTATATATATATATATATATATATATATATTGTATCAATTAGTAAAGTTGATTTGAATGCTATGTGTTTTAGTAAACCTCAACTTCTCAACTTTCATACAAGTAATATTAGAGTCATCTCTACTTCATTTTATTAATATTATATAATACTTTAATCATTTTTAGTTTTAATTAATTTATGCAATTCAATCTATATATATATATATCTAAAATTTATTACCATTACTAATATAACCAAAATTAATTATAGAAATTTCTCATAATGTTTAATAATATTTTATTTTCATTATTTTAATAATTACCATTATTAATATTATCACACAGAGGTGTAAAGCGGGTGGTCCATGCTGTGCCAGCCCGCGGGCTGAGCCATGCTATGCTTCCCGCCCCTTGAATACTTCGGGGATCAGCCCAGCATGGCCCAGGGGCCGAGCTTTAGGGCAGGCCAACCTGCGGACCGAACCAAGCCATAAGAGGTATATTTTCTTAAAATTTTGAAAAAGAATAATAAAAAAATAAAGTAAACTAATAAAATAGGCAAAAAAATTAAAAAAAGAAAACGTCTTAAATTTTTATTTTATATGAATTTTAATATATACAGTTGCTTATATATATGCAATAATAATACAAAATAATATAATAAAAATTTTATATATATTAATATATTATATAATTATTATATATATAAATATATATCGGCCGTGGACAGCATAGCCCGATTTACATTTCTTTTACCACAATTAATTATTGATGTTAATTAACTAATACAATATTTGCAATTTTTCAAAAACTAGCCACACAAAAAAGTCTAAGAATTTTCTCTTTTTTTTTATTTTTGATTTTTTGAAAGCAAGTAATGTGAAATTCATGCTAATCGTGTTGGAAACCAGATATATCACGTCTCATGGCCTTTCCTAATCGTGTTCAACAAGGAAAACAGGTTCGTTTCGAATCAGAACCCAGCTTTTGAACTCTTTCTTTCTCGCTATTCTAACGATCAAAAACCAGCAGTGTTGAAGGTTTCTCCCATTGGTTGGACGAAAACGGCACCCAATTTTAATCGGTCAGTTTTTCTCTGTTCTAAACTCTGTTTTAATTTTTGTTTTGGACGAAAAGGCATTGCTTTGGGCAGGGACGGAAAGACATTGTTTTAGACAGAAAACAGGGTCAAAAGGATATCAATTTTCATTGTGATACTCGTATTGATTGGGTGGAAAATTAGAATAGACTGAAAGGTTCTAAGCTGAAAGGTATGTATCTCGACCATCTCTTTTCTTTTTATATCAATTTAGGAAAATAATTGTTTGAAAACATTTAGAACGAAACAGGGGAATTTGAAATGAAATAAAGAGTTTACCGGTCGAATCTAGCCTTTTCATAGTTGGTTTTCATGCAAAGAGATGGGTATCACTTTCCTAGGTAAATAATACACCCAAGAAAATAAACTTTCCTAGTCTCTACATAACGCTGAAAAAAGAACATGGGGTTCTTGGTCAAATGGAAACCAAAATCCCATTGACCAACTTTCCCCCTTGCTGTATGAAGCGACCACTGTAGCTAGATGCCTTGACCCGGGTCAAGAAGACAAGTTTTGCAGATCGGTTTTTTCATACCCATCTATGATCCGATTCGAATTTGTACTGGCAATAGGCCGGTTTGGACCGTCATCTTGATCAGGTCGAGCCCAACCCAATGCTTTAATCAATAGTACGATTTCAGTACTTAAATTATATTTAAACTAGAATTGACAGTAATTATGATTAAATTTTCATTATATTTAAATTATATTTGAAACTGTAATTAATTGTAATCAAAATTTAAACTGTAATTAATTGTAATCAAATTTTAAACTGTAATTAACAGTAATTATAATTCAATTATATTGAAATGCATTATTTAAATATAATTGAAGTTATAATTTAAATTATATTTGAGTTATATTTAAATTATATTTATAAAAATTATATTAAATTACAACTAATAATAATTAAATTTAAATTGTAATTAACATTTTAAATTTAAAATTATGTCTAAAATATTTTAAATATAAGTTAAGTTATAATTTAAAATTTAATTATATCTAAAATATAATCAACAAAATTAAACTGTGTTGAATTTTATTTAAACTATATTTAAGTTATGGATTAAACTGTAGTTAACAGTAATTATATTTAAATTATATTTTAAATTGAAATATTATCAACTATTCAACTATAAGTTTAGTTATCAATGAATTATAATTCAAAAATAAAATATAAAATGACAAAATAATATAGTTTTATCATTTAAAATCATATTATTTAACATAAATTCCCTTTCAAACTGTAATTACATTTAAATTATATTTAAATTTTGTTTTAATTTCGAAATATATTTGAATTATATATTTAAATATAATTTATGTTTTAAATTAAATTATATTTTAAACCGTAACCACTAGCAATTATATTTAAATGTAATTAACAGTAATTATGATTAAATTTGAATTACATTTAAATTATGTTTTAAATTCTATTTAAATTCTATTTGAAACTGTAGTTGATTGTAATTAAATTTTAAATTGTAATTAACAGTAATTGTATTTTAAATTTAAAATTATGTCTAAAGTATATTTAAATATAAGTTAAGTTATAATTTAAAATATAATCGACAAAATTAAACTATGTTGAATTATATTTAAACTCTATATAAGTTATGTTTTAACTGTAGTTAAAAGTAATTATATTTAAAGTATAATTAACAGAAAATATATTTTAAATTTAAATATTATCAACTATTCAACTATAAGTTTAGTTATCAATGAATTATAATTTAAAAATAAATTATAAAATGACAAAAATCATAGTAATTAACAAAAAATTAACAATGATCCAATAAATTACCAATATTTCCATAAAAAGTATAGTAATTAACAAAAATTTATAAAAAATTACCATAAATTGTCATAACTTAGTAGAGATGAACAGAAATTAACCAAGAATATAACCTGAAATAAATTACCAATATTTCCAACAAAAATTATAGTAATTAGCAGAAATTAATATACATGGAAAAAACTTATCAAAAATTACCAATATTTTATAGAAATTAATAAATACACTATAAAATTACCAATTTTTAAGAAAATTTGTTACAATTACCAAGAATTATCCAAAAAAATAACAATGACCCAATAAATTACCAATATTTCTAACAAAAAGTATAGTAAATAGTAGAAACCAATATACATAACAAAAACTTATCAAAAATTACCTTAAATTGTCATAACTTAGTAGAGATGAACAGAAATTAATCAAGAATATAACCTGAAATAAATTACCAATATTTCCAACAAAAAAATATAGTAATTAGAAGAAATTAATATACATAGCAAAAAAATTACCATGAATTATCATAAATTTCCAATGTTTAAGAAAATGGTCATAATTACCAAAAATTCTCCAAAACCTTACCAAAAATGAATTAACATTATTTCCAATAAATATGATAAATTACCAATAATCAACATAAATAATTATCATTAATCTTCAAAAAATAATAGTAATTAATAGAATTAATTAAAAAAGCAAATATATATATATTACCAATCTTACATTAGTTACATTGTTTTTTTCGTATAGATTATAAATCATATAATTGAAACTTTACAATCCTTACCTATGATGGTATTAGTCTATAGTGTTACAATGGAAAACATAAAAAATATGTTTACTATTATATGTTTCTATTGTTTCACTTCCATTTAACAAAGGGTCCCTCCTAGTATCCAATTATAATCCGAGGGTCGGTTTGGTTTGTGAGAATAGGTGTCTGGATTCGGAACCAGAATGGTGTATTTCAATTCCAACTGTTTAATTGGGCAGAATCAAAATCCCATTCCCATTCCTGATGAAATGACATTTCCCCCTTTGAAGGAATGGCCATTCTATCCCCCTCCCCTGTGAATGAGAATCCATACCAGCCAAATTAGATCATAATTCTAATTTCAGTCTAAACCAAACAAGTGAGAGGAATAGACCATTCCGATTCCAATCCCAATTAAACTGTAAGCTAAACGGACCCTGAATTCAATTCGAATCTAAAACAAATCCTATGATAAGATCCGAATTCTAATTTGAATATAACCAATTCGATCTATTTGCAAGACCCATCAAAAAGTTTTTGGTAGGCTTGGGATGGGCGCTCAAGACAAGATTTATGATATCATTATATAAAACTTGGAGTTCACATCTGCTCTCCAGAGCACATCCCCATCTTGTATTAGGAACATCTCTCGATAAAAAGTAGGGGAGATGATAAAACATCACTGGAAAATATTCCCAATACAAGATAGGGATGTGCTGTGAGGCATTGTGGGGCGCAGACGTAAACTCCAAAACTTGCGGCCTAGAGAAATGATTTGGGGTTGAACATTGGCCCATGTATATATCTCAGTGGGTCAGTGACTGCTAGTGCTGACTATCACCATCTACAAGCCGCAGCCAGATACTCTCTTGAATGGTAGATACATGACCACATAGTATGAATCGGTCCATAAAAATTTTTTCTGCGTGGGCCCTAGTCATCTCGAACTCGGAGCCTCTCACCACTCAAACACAGTGTGGTGATAGGTAATGGGCCTTAACTAACTGAGATGGATATGAATCTGGTCCACACAGATAGTAGTGGACCTAGTGGTTCAAGTGTTACTCTCTTGTTCACATATATATAATATAATTCAATAAAATAGTAATAATAAATAAATTTACACCGTGAAAAGGGAAGAAATAATGTGGGCCTTCCATCTCTCTGTATCACACTGTATGTAATATGTCCAGACCAACTTTATTTCCGGGTGAACGAAGAATTCCCAAATATGGATTCAGGAGAGAGAGTAGAGGAATTTACTGAATTGTCCCTATTTCTTCCCCAAAGTAACCGGAAATGCCCAACTTTGTTCTCTGTGATATAAAGAAAATCTACACCTATCTGAAGACACGTTTCCTCGGGCCGAAGGCCATGTCCTGATCCTCACAGAGCGTATCTTATATCAATTTCACAGATACATCTCATCGTGCATTGGGAACATCTCCCATAAATAAAACACAAAAGTAGGAGAGATGATATTCCCAATGCATGATAAGATGTGCCTGTGATGTCAGTGTGAGGTTATGCTCTCTGTGAGGAGCAGATCCAAACTCGGTTGATGCGTTGATGGCCGACCTAGGTGCCAATACTGAAAAGTGAAGTGAAAACCATCCAATAATATCGAATTGGGTTAGATTGGATTGGACCATAGGACTCAAACATGATCCTTAATAACCCCTTTTAGACTTGGTTTGGGAGGAGTACAAATGTAAATATGTACAATGTAAATACACATCAAATAGTTTAAAACACAAGGCTCAGTTTTGCAGTATACATATTTGTATTTATAGTCTTTCTAAACTGATCCTTAGGCACAGTATCGAAAGAATACAAATATATACAATATGAATACAAACGAAACAATACAAAAGGTAAGGTTTTGCACTTTACATATTTGTACTGTACATATTTGAGGTAATATAATATAGTCTTCTATCAAAGGGTATTTGAACTAAACCCTAACTCAACTTTTAAAGGCTAAATTTTAAATGAAATGCTGGTCGGACACAATTCCTCCGACCAGATAGCAGCTAATAATTCCTCCTTTAAGCCCATTTGGGCCGTATTTCTCTTTTGTATTTTAAAACAGCCACACAAAGGCCATAATCTGACGGAGGGCATTTCGTTATTAAAGGAAACGATTAGTCCAATTTGTAGCCTACTGTCATTCTTAGTTTCTTACTCGACAATGCCCGAAATTACAGTCACACACATCGAAGTTTAAATGCGCAATCCCTAGAGATTCTGTTACATTTAGCAAAGGAATCTTGGAAGCATTCCAATCGTCCATTGAAATAAAAAAAGCGGCCAAAACAAAAAACAGATGAAACCTCGTCAAGTTCGGCTTGTCTCCAGATATTCCATTCTTGTCTTTGGGTCGACATTGCTTCTTCACTGTGTGAAACTACACACTTTCAAATCGCCAACGTTGCTCATAAACTAATCCAGTAAATCTGCCAGATTGTCTTCAGATTCTGCAGTTCTTCGTTCCTGTGTTCCAGACAGTAGTAGTGAGCCGTTGTTGGAGAAGCAGAAGGTGAATTGGTGTTCTCTCTCTCTCTCTCCGGTTGATTAACTAGTTTGTTCTATCTTTACGATTTCTTTATATCAATCTGATTCATTTTCGAACTTCTTTATGGGTATGCCCGCCAGATATAGTTGATGATAATTGATACTATACCATGTTAACTAATGAAAAATTGAGCTAAGAAGTTACCCTGGAGTGTACTTCCAACTCATCAGGGTTGGTTGTTCTCCTTGTGAGAAGCTTTTTATGTTTCTGAAGAATAATAGGTAATAAAAGATTCCCTTGTTATTCGGGAACGTAGAGATGTGGTTCCATTTTTTTTTTTTTTTTTTTTTTTTTGTATGGCACTTTCACTTGTTGGGATTCTTTCTTTCTTTCTTTTTATTTCTTTAATATTTATTCAGTCTAAGGGGATGACATTGAGCAGAGTGGAATGGTGGAGCATTCCCCATATTGTTGGAATAAGGCCTAGTTGAATTGAGAGATTAAGGGGATAAGTTTAGCTCTCRTTTTGAAAATGGATTAGGAACTTTTGACATCCATTAATCTGTATTTGTTACCTGTTAATTGTTGTCTTAGGCCTGCATTTTTGCAGCTAACACCTAGCTGATTACTTCCTATTTTGGTAATTTACTTGATTTCTTCATCATCAATCATCACCATCCAAGCCTTATTCCAACTATATGGGATCAGTTACATGAATCCTGTTTTACCATTCCATTCCATTTGGTAATTTACTTGTTCTTTCTTACTTGATTTCTTCCTTTGTGAACTAAGTGGTAGTTTTTGTTCTAATTGATAATTGAATAGTCTTTTTAGTACTTAAGAATCTCAAGTTAGCTAACTGAATGTAGTATCTATTTCAAGCACCATACAGCATTTAGGAAAGGCACAAGATAATAACATATCAAGTTTCAATTTTTTTCAGTCTTGTCAATTGCACCTGGAAAGGCACAAGATAATATCCCTTCATTGTGTGTATCCACAATGAATYTGATCTCTGCTCAGRCATGTCAACGATCTCTAGTATGGTACCACATACTCATTCCCACATGCTCACTAATCATTCCATATGCCAGAGCAGCTGGAATTGCAGCTAGCTTTCCTATCCAGCCCTTGCATTCCCTGTTCGGCTTTTAGGAGTAACAATTACAGATGCACTATTTGGACATCTCATACAATATATTGTTTTAATTTATGGTTGGAAAATTGATTTGATATATTACAAAGCAGCATTCTGTTCTGCACCCATCCAATAGCCTAATGCTGGCTTTTGGAACAAGGGTCAATGTGTTACTAGTTCATATTGTGGCTTATCCTTGGTTGGTGTATAAACTCTTTATCTTGAAACAAATTTTATTAAACAGAGGAGTAGAAACTGTACTTGTGTTTATTGGCTCTTTTTATTCACTTATTAAAGAATGCATTTTTTTCTCTTTCAGCTAAAAAATCATGTCAGGGAAATCCATTATTAGGCCAGAGGGAGAACTCAAAGTTAGCTTTGGCTACCAATGCAATAGAAAAGAAAGGAAACCTGTTGAAGTTTACAATGGATATGAAATCCCATCTGAATCCAAACTCCGAAGGCGCAGTAGCTCTTTCTCTTGCTTATCTGGTGCTGCCCTAAGTGCTAATGCCACATTGGCAAACACAAATATTTGCAATGGTCTCATTGGAGAAGAAATACTTCCAAGTTTGGACTCTCCCAAATCATTCAGGAGCTTTCCCTCTTCACCATCCCTTTCCAGRTTAGATATTTTATCAACTTCTCTTCAGAGTAGTGGATCAACCTTGAGTTGCAGCATTTCTACTCAAAGCGAAGCTTCTGAATGGGATTCAAGTACATTGAAATCCATGAGTGCTCCTTCAAGAAGTGAAGGTTTCTTCAATGCTATGGAAGTTCAAGTGGCAGGTGGAGCTGCTGGTGAAGATAGAGTTCAAGCTGTTTGCTCTGAAGAAAATGGGTGGCTCTTCTGTGCTATATATGATGGGTTCAATGGTCGGGATGCAGCTGACTTTCTGGCTGGAACATTTTATGAGACCATTGGTTTATACTTAAATCAATTGGAATGGAAACCAAAGCAGGAAGGTGTTACATCTTCAGATGGTTACCTTCAATATTTTCTAGAGGATGGTTATAATAGCCCTGAGGAAAAAACTGCTTCAAGAATTCTTGCAATGGATCCAAGAGTTAACATTGTCACTGAGGAAGCTCCATTTGTCAGCACAGGAGTCTCATATGATTCATTTAAGCAGGGGATTCTCAATGGTCTCCAATGTGCTCTAAGCCAGGCTGAGAATGATTTTTTATACATGGTTGAGCAGGAAATGGAGGACCGACCTGATTTAGTATGTGTTGGATCCTCCGTTTTGGTTCTTCTTCTTCATGAGAAAGATCTATATACACTCAATTTAGGTGACAGCAGGGCTGTATTGGCAACATATGGACAGGGCAGCGAAATGAATGGAACTAAAAGTTTGGTGGCTGTCCAGCTTACTGATATTCATACTGTTGATAATGAGGTAGAACGAAAGCAGATTCTTAATGATCATACAGATGACCCCACAACAATTGTAGCTGGAAAAGTGAAAGGAAAATTGAAGCTAACTCGTGCATTTGGAGTTGGTTATTTGAAAAGGGTAACCAGTTTTGTTCTTATAAATTGTATCAAAAATGTTTGTGTTTTATGAGAAAATACAATATTAGGGAAGAAACAAACTAGGTGTAGTATAGACCGTTGGAAGATAGACAATTGTGTCAATCTTTAGAATTATAAAATATAGATAACCACAATTGGGGGAACTCCCTTGTGTTTGATATGTCCCTTTGCGTTTTTCTATGTTATCCCTAGAATTGCCAAATTAGTTTTCCTTATACAATTCCCAGTATTAACATATTGATTTCTGCAGAAAAAACTAAATGATGCTTTAATGGGCATTCTGCAAGTCCGAGACCTACTCAGTCCACCATATATCTCCACACAACCATCACTGAACATTCATAGAATCTCAAAGGATGATCACTTTGTAATTGTTGGAAGCGATGGTTTGTTCGACTTTTTCAGCAATGATGAGGCTGTAGAGCTTGTAGATGCCTATATTTTTAGAAATCCGTCTGGTGATCCAGCAAAATTCTTGCTAGAGCAGCTTATACTAAGAGCAGCTAGTAATGCAGGTAGAATCACAATGATATATTTCTTTGATTTAGGGGTGTGTATGTGTATTGTAAAGAGAGAGAGATCCAATTCTATTTAGTATCAATCAGCCTCTCAACTGACTAAAAAATTGAAGGCATATAGCACTCTGTGCCAAAAGCTAGGGATCGAAACATCCCTATTAAGTCTAAGTGACTGCTTCTCTCTTCAATCTACTTGTTTTAAAATGTTATTGTATAAACAAGTCATCTCTAATCCAATACTTATCTTATCTCTTGCAGGTTTCAGCACAGAAGAGCTAATGAGAATTCCTGCTGGCAGGAGACGGAAATATCATGATGATGTGACTGTAATTGTAATCATCCTTGGGAGCAACCAGCGCACATCAACAGCATCAACTTATGTGTAAGATCGCATGTTAGAGAGAAAGTCATGTAGTTTTAACTTTAGATTTCAATTGTCTAGCATTTCTTTGCATGTACAGTTTTTTTTTTCTTGCTGAAAACTCACATATTGTTCCTTGTCTATGTGCCAGTCAACTTACAAGGTTATGTCAATTTGTAAGTGAAACGGCAATTATTAGCTCTTGAAAAGTTTCA